TTTACTTTGACTCTGTTATACTCCAATCGAGCCGCTCGTTCCAATCGATGAGCTTGCGACAACGGGCCTTTGGATTGCTTTAAAAACTTCCCCTGGGAAACGCACCCCGTCTGAGCTGCTTACGGTGCATTCTCACTCGGAGGGATGAAAATCGAGGGAGGATTCGGTTGCAGCTGGAACTTGACTTTTTTTTTGTTTAAAAAAATTTTTTTTCCATTTAATTTATACGAAATGTTTTTTTTTTTTTTAAGATGAAACCGATCAATGCACGGTATAGATTTTCTCGCAATGCGCCAGTCCGGAACGATCGTCCCCCTACAGACGTGAATGTGGTTCTATAACCATAGGGGTGTGTTTCGAAGTGGGTGTTACTAAAGGGGGTAGTATAGGAGACTGTAGAACGTAACGGTATATATATATATATACTCCACGGATATTGGGTGTAATCGACTACCTCAGGGAATCCCACCCTCTGGCTGCTTCTGCAGGGGATAATTTGCGGCGTCTCGACGCGTCTGCGTGGTCCATTCGGACTTCAGCCAATCGCGTCTCGGCTGCGCCCCGACCGAGAACAAAAGGATCGCGAAGTGAATGTAGGGGGCTGACGGTGGCTGATCGTCATGTGGAAACGCGCAAAAAAGCGTTCGGTCTCATCGATTCGCCAGCTCGGGAACCACCGAGATGGAAGGAGGCTCCTCCGAAAGGCATTCGGCCATGATGTCGACTTTGTGGTTTCAAAAAAAAAAAAAAAAGTGTTAATTATATTAATTTTGAAAAAAGAAAAACCATTTTTTCCCGCCGTCATTAGCTTAATACAATTTTCACGAGGTGTCCATGTGCACTGTAAACGGCATCAATACGTAATGTTTCAGGGGGCAAGAAGAATTCGCTGAAGAGAGCGTTGCCGTCGTCCGACGATTCGCCGCCGAGTAAAAAACAACGAAAGGCTCGTACGGCGTTCACGGATCATCAATTGCAGACGCTCGAAAAGAGCTTCGAGAGACAGAAATATCTGAGCGTTCAGGACAGAATGGAATTGGCAGCCAAATTGCAGCTTACCGATACGCAGGTCAAGACGTGGTACCAGAATAGAAGGTAAGACAAACTTATTTTTCATGGACAAAATAGAATTTAAGATTGAAGATTCGCCTTGAGGTTTTCGCCTAGACGGACGGGTCCTTCGTATACGAGGTCCTCCTGTCCTCATTTTTGTGAGCGATAATCATATTGCAGGTTGGGTTAGGTCGAGGCTCATACGGATAATTCGTACAGGTAACTTTGTAGCTGTGCAGAGACGGGTGGCGACTTGTGATGTTGTGGGTACGACCTAAGGGATACGTCCAAGGAGATAGCGACGCCTCGCGTAGTAGCGGGCTATGGATCGGAGCCCGGCGGCACGTTCTTTTATGGCGCGCGTATCGAATTCGTAAATGGAAATCGCGGCGCTCGACAAAGCCCTTGTTTACGTGGTTAAACGCGAAGATTGTCGGCCGAACGGATTTTTTTACTAAATACTCGGAAACCGAGTTTATCTTTTTGCGTCGTTTCTTCGGTAAAACACGCACCGGAATTCTCGTCGGTAGGCCAACAGACTTAAATAGTCTGACACAATTGTTGGTAATTTTATTACGTACGATGTACAAGAGAGTTTTAGAAATTTTTTTTTTCAAAAAGTTTTAAAAAATTTTTTTGCAATTTTTTCTCATCGATGGTCCCCGACGCGTCTCCGATACGAATTTTGGAATTTTTCAAAAATCAGGGAAATCACCCCTCTCACGGATGGTGGTCTGATCGGTTGGCTTTACCTTAAAAAGGGTTGATCAGCCTTTTTATTTATTTTTTCTCCCGTTCGCCATTAGGCTCATTGCCGGTAACCGGGCGTAACGAACGAAAACTCCCGTAAGACAATGGAACCTGGTCAGGCCGTGGGATTCGGATTTCTTCGGTAGCGGTCCCAGGTGCTTTTGAAGTTTCGTTAAAGCGCTCACCGGGGCCCCACCTTCTCCCGTCCCCGTAACGGTCCCCCAGCCGTTCCGTCCCTGGGGAAGTTCGACGAGGCAACAACGAATTACAGGCGCCACGGGATGACGCGGTGAAATCCTCTGTAACGCGTAGTACGCCGCTCGCAGTCGAACTTTCATCGTCCTGGTCCAGGAACACCCTTTGAGTTTTCGGTCTGAAAGTTGAGAAAAAACGAAAAAAAAAAAAGAAAGGCCACCAAAGATCCTGAAGACGTTCCTTTCTAATTGGCTGTAACCTCCGACCGGATGGTTACCGGATGTTTCTATAATAAATCGATCTTCTAAGATAAAAAAAAATCTCACCTTATCTCCAAAAACCAAATATTAATAAATATTAATACAAAATTTCAACCCCCCCCCTATTCCCCTCCTATATACACAAAGTACATTCACAATTATCCGCCATTTTTTTTTCTTCATATTTTCTACTCCAAGCAAGTCGCCATTAGTCGCCATTCAATCCTTGAATTCTGTCGAATTACCCCCCCCCCCGTTTCCCCTCTTTCCTTTCTCACCCCTACTCGTCCAGTTAACTTTTTTTATATTTTTCATTCCTATACTTCTCTCTCTTTCTCTCGGTCTGTCTCTTCACTATTCTCGTCCTTGTCTCTCGCACGGGCTAACGACCTCCGTCCTACTGACAACCACCGATCTCGATAGTTTTGAACGTGGGACAGAATTAAAAAAAAAGGGAAGGAAAAAAAAGCGTGGCCCCCCCGATCCTGGAAGAGACGAGCAGGCGGCGGCGGCCGGCAAACTCTTTAAAACACGGGCAAGAAGAATGTCCGATTATTACGCTTCAAAGGCGGCCCGGCCTTTCTAAGTACTCCGTTGTGACGCGTACCTAGTTATCACTAAGATCTGTATATTAGCCGACGCTTTTTTTTTCCAGCAGTCGATCTCGTCTCGTCCAGAGGTAGAGCCACATGCAGTACCTTTATATTCAGGTATACATACATACAGTCAGCCAGAGCTTCTTTAGCAGACGGCGTATGTACATACGTATAAAAGTGGCTATTCGGGATAAGTGATTTTTTTAAAAAGCCAACTCGCCATTATGAAACCCCTTTCAGTGTATCTTTTTACTTACACTTACGTACAGCGTGTATACGTCACTTCTCCACTGGATACCACTTCTTTGTCTCTCTCTCTCTCAATTATTAACCGCCCCCATTTCGAACTTGACGAATCATTCCTACCGATTACCAATGATTACCCACCTCGCTCTGCGGAGTGTCTTCCATTTGCCTCCGTCGTTCATTCCCACGTTCACTTTCTCTCTTCGTTGCTCGCTTCTCAGGTTTGACACTCGGCGGCGTTGTGAACGCACCTTCAGTGCTTCAGCCGTGCGCGTGTTGGCTTATTGGGCTCTTGGGATGCACGAGGGCGTCGGGGCTTTCTCGAAGATTGGGGGTCGGGGGATCGTAACCGCGGCAATTTGTGAGGTTAACTTTTCGTGAACCCAACGGGAAATTTTGTTTCGACGCTATGAAACCTTTTTTTGGGGGCGATTCGAA